CACTTGTGTCAAACGTTGACAAAATGAAGCTGGGTAAGACACAGAAAACTCTGCCCAAACCAGACCACTGCAACCTTACACAAAAAAAATTCCTGCAAGAAAATCTGCCCAGCAACTGCCTTGGACTGATGCCACACTTGTTATTGATCAGTGTAACCAAGGATAATTGTTTCAACACAATTTATGTAACCCTCCTCATTTTACCTTTAAAAACATTTGTCTTGGCCGGGCGCGGTGGCTCAAGCCTGTAATCCCAGCACTTTGGGAGGCCAAGGCGGGTGGATCATGAGGTCAAGAGATCGAGACCATCCTGGTCAACATGGTGAAACCCCGTCTCTACTAAAAATACAAAAAATCAGCTGGGCATGGTGGTGCGTGCCTGTAATCCCAGCTACTCAGGAGGCTGAGGCAGGAGAACTGCCTGAACCCAGGAGACGGAGGTTGCAGTGAGCCGAGATCGCGCCATTGCACTCCAGCCTGGGTAACAAGAGTGAAACTCCGTCTCAAAAAAAAAAAAAAAAAAAACACTTGTCTCCCCATGCCTCCCTCAATATGCCCATAGTTTGCTATGGCACACTTATTCAGCACTGTGATGCCCATTCCTAAATAAACTCATTGTCTTTGGAGAATCTTCCTCTGTTATTCAGGCTCACACTCATATAAAATTAAAGTATGTTAAATAGCACAAGCCACCCATTAAATGAGAAAAGTGAGAATGCATCAAACAAATTAGGATCATCATTAATATTACATTCAAAACACTTTGTAAGACATCCTTCAATATAGTGATCTAAAATAAGATACTAACATTAAGATACTATGTGCTCAATGGCATGTAAAAATAATACATTTTTATTTTAAAGGTGATTTTCATATTATACATTATGTGAAAGGGGTTCATAGGCCAAGTACTTTTAGGAAACAGCATCTTTTTCTTTTTTCTTTTTTTTTTTGAGATGGAGTCTTGCTCTGTCTCCAGGCTGGGGTGCAATGGCGTGATCTTGGCTCACTGCAACCTCCACCTCCCAGGTTCAAGTGATTCTCCTGCCTCAGCTTCCCGAGTAGCTGGGATTACAGGTGACTGCCACCGTGCCCAGCTAACTTTTGCATTTTTAGTAGAGATGGGGTTTCACCATGTTGGCCAGGCTGGTCTCACATTCCTGACCTCGTGATCCATCTGCCTCAGCCTCCTAACAGCTTCTTTTCGGTAACTCAGCTATTGGACTCGCACAATAACTTGTTAAACAGAGACTTTGAGTTCCCACCCAAACCCAAAAAACAGAGCATCCAAGAGAAATGCCAAGCCCCCCTCTGTTTTTAATAAGCACTCCAGATGATTCTGATGATGAACCTGATCTGGGAAACACCCATCTTGTTAGAAAGCAGGTCCCCAGGGCAGAAAGAAGCCAGATATCATGCTTGCTGGCAGAGGAAGGAACCGGCTGGGTAGAAGGAGCCCAGGTCTGAGTGTAGTCCTGCCCTGGAAGATCCTAGAAAGCTGGGGTAAAGGCAGGAAGAGCCAAAAGGGATGAATGGCGGATTTGGCAAGGCTTAAAAATGGAACGCGGTAGACCCAAATACTTATCTCTGATGTGCCTCCTGTTATGTAACCTTGGGAAAGTTACTGACCTCAGGTTCCTTGTCTTTATAATGGGGATTTTTTAAAAAATCGATGTTCTCAGATTGCCGTAAGGATTAAATAAAATCATCTAGGCAAAGCATTTAAACCCAAAGCAGCTGAACATAAACTGAGAGCCCAAAGAGGCTGAGAATGGTTCTGAAGAGTGATTTTGGCTGTCTTTGACCTGTCTTAGTGAAATTATTTCATTTTGTGAAACTTTCCTATTTTTTTAGGGATGAACAATTTCTTCATAAATACCATCAACCTGGGATCCCATGTCATTTTACTCAGCTGGTCCTTCAGTAATTAAGCATTCTCGCCAAGCCTGGAAATTATTATTCTTTGAGGTGGTTAAGTTAGAGCATTTAGTGAATAAGGCTAGACAATGCTGTGTTTTTAACATAGTTTCTGCAAGATTTTCTGGGTGAAGATGAGTGCTCTAGAGAAAGGTGGTTTTATGCTCACTTCAACCTCTATGAAGTGAGCAAAGCAGCTAGGTTCGGGGTTGGGAGCTGCACATGCTGAGACCTCTGATTTAATTCTCACTGAAAGCAATCTTTTATTTAACATCTTTCCACAATGAGAATATAATTGTTAGGCTTACAAATTGGAGGTACAATTCTAAAGACCATAGAGTAACTCACTGGAAGCATACTAGCTGGTAATGAGATTAGAGACTGAACTCTCAGACATCACAGGGAAAAAAATACATATTCAAATGCCCTCCTGTATCTTTCAGGAAGCCAGGGATGGACTCCCAGTGCAAATAGATGTTATGCAAATACAGTGTGCATATATTAGAGAAGTGATGAAAAATAGAAAGTAATCTTGAAACCTCCTTTTCCTTAAAGAGATGTGGCTGTTTCTGAATTGCTCCTCTGCAAGGCTGCCTCTGCCTCCTCTCCGTGTGGCTTGCTTTGCAGAGGCTGAAGGGGAAGGCCTGGGAAGACACGTTGAAATGAACCCTGCCTGGCTGCTGGGAACCAGTGTGCTCAAGATGCAAACTGAACTGCAGCAATAAAGCCAAAAGAAGGGGAAAGAATGAAATGGCGATTTTCATCTTTATCCCTTGTGGTTAGACATGGTTCCTCTCAATCTATTGTTAGACTTGACTGTATTTCCCTAAGTCTACTTGCCTTTCAGACACAATGCTCATCGCTGCTTAAAATGATTAGCATATTCCAGCAGCAATTCCTACAGCAGAATTATGCCACATGGTGATAATTCTTCGTATCTTGGGAGTTTGGGACATTCCTGTTCATAAAGTTACATATCCATAGGTTCTTCCTTGATGATTTTTTCTCTCAGTCTATAGTCTGACTAAAATCCAGTGCAGAAAAGGTGTAAGTGAATTTTATAAGAAGAACATGAATCATCTGCTACAGCAAATCCAATGTGCCATTTAAAATTTACTAGAAAGGTCTAAAGCTAGTGCCTTTCAAATCGTGAACTCACCTGGGTTTGGTGGTGCAAGTCTGTAGTCCCAGTTACTCAGGAGGCTGAGGAGGGAGGATTGTTTGAGGCCACAGTGCACTCTCAACATGTCTGGAAATAACCATCACACTCCAGTCTGGGCAACACAGGGACCCCTTATCTCTACAAAAATGTTTTTTAATATTATGAACTCAATCTGTAAGTGAGCTCATTAGCATGGAGAAAGTTTCCCTTTAAATGGGTGAGGCGGGGAGCAGTGGCTCACACCTGTAATCCCAGCACTTCGGGAGGCTGAGGCAGATGGATCACTGGAGTTTGGGAGTTTGAGAGCAGCCTGGCCAACACAGTGAAACCCCGACTCTACTAAAAATACAAAAATTAGCCAGGCATGGTGGTGCATGCCTGTAATCCCAGCTAGTTGGGAGTCTGAAGCATGAGAATCGCTTGAACCTGGGAGGCGGAGGCGGCAGTGAGCCGATATCATGCCACTGCATTCCAGCCTGGGTGTCAGGGCAAGAGTGAAAAAAAAAAGTGAGAAAATAGGGAAAATAACAAATGGTCTGATGTCTAGGTGTGACCCCAAACCTTATTTTCCAGGTAGCATTCTCTAGAAGGGATAGAGACCATGGTCACTTACTGTTAGGCGACACTGTGTAGACCCCAGTAACTGTATATATAGGTCACTTTTGCACCAACCTATACAAATTTCTTCTACTTGGAAATAAAACCTTGGTGGAATTAAAAATTGATATGGGAACTTATCAGCGGTACCAGATGATCAGTTTCTAGAATATCATGTTTCCTTTCCTGCAGTCCCTAAAAGACTGATGATTAATGATCTCTTAGACTAATAAATCTAAATTTGAAAAAGATAACAGAAACCCTGACCAGTTACTTCCCAAAGCACAGAGTACTTGTTTATCTTTTTTTTTTTTTGAGACAGAGTCTTGCTCTGTCACCCAGGCTGGAGTGTGTTGACATGATCTTGGCTCACTGCAACCTCTGCCTCTCAGATTCAAGCAATTCTCCTGCCTCAGCCTCCCGAGTAGCTGGGATTCTAGGTGCCCACCATCACCCCCAGCTAATTTTTGTATTTTTAGTAGAGAAGGGGGTTTCACCATGTTGGCCAGGCTGGTCTTGAACTCCTGGCCTCAGGCGATCTGCTTTCTTTGGCTTCTCAAAGTGCTGGGATTACAGGCATGAGTCACCACACCTGGCCTGTTTATCTTGATTTAAGAAACAAGAGTACAGAAGAATTCTCTGCTCGTATTGATGCTGCTCTTACTCTATTTGCTACCTGGTAATAAAAATATGTTGAAGGAATGAGTGGTGAAAGGCTGGAAAAATGTGGGCAAAGAGGAACTTTTATAGGGAAAGAATATATTTTTGTTACACTTACAGAATATATTTTTATTACAGTTGGATAAATATATTTTTTAAAAATTAAAAATTGGGTAGTCATAGGTTTTGCATCTGGATTTATAATTAGCAAACTGGAAAAAAAAAAAGGACAACTGCCAGATCACCAGTAAAGTTACCAACGCATTTAGGAGTTTCATTTCCTTAGGAAGTGTGCTTCTTCATAACATGTTGTCATAGAAACTTTTTTTTTTTTTCTCAGCAAGAGTCTCGCTCTGTCACCCAGGCTGGAGTGCAGTGGCACGATCTCAGCTCACTACAACCTCTGCCACCCGGGTTCAAGCGATTTTCCTGCCTCAGCCTCCTGAGTAGCTGGGATTACAGGTATGTGCCACAACACCCGGCTAATTTTTGTTATTTTAGTTGAGATGGGGTTTCACCATGTTGGCCAGGCTGGTCTTGAACTCCTGACCTCGTGATTCACCCGCCTTGGCCTCCCAAAGTGCTGGGATTACAGGCGTGAGCCATGGCACCCGGCCAGAAACTTTGTTAAAGTGTTGTTTTCTGGTCATTTTGTTGTTTCACTGAACGGCCTGGGAGAATACCCACCAAGTACTGGGTTAAGAAGAGAGGATACCAAAGTCCCCCACACCTTTGCCTCCCTCCTTCCCACGCTCCCCAACTAAGAGAAACATGTGTTCATCATTCCTCAGACAGAAGATTTCCTGGAAATGTTTTTGTTTGAAAACAAATGTTTTTGTTTGAAAACCTCACTGCTCAGAGCTAAGAACAGAGGACGAGTCCCGCTATTAAGGAATAAACCTTGTGAAGCAGGCGGTGGTGGAAGCCACCGTCTGCTTCCTGTATAGTGGAGAATCTGATTTGGGGTAATTTGGGATATGGGCAAATATGTTTACCCACCTTACTAAGATGTGTTTAACTTGATATTTATGTGAAACAGTTAAACGTTTGAGAACGGCCTGAATAATGCGTGGTACCCTGTCGTTTCCCTGTAGGTCTGTGATTTGAAGGACGGTATTCCCAGATTCGGTGTCATTTTCCCCTGGCCAGTCTCCCTTCCTCTTTTCTTATACCTCATGAGGGAAAATGAACAGCCACAGCCATAGAGAAGTGAAATCCATCGGCTATGCCCAGTTTCTGCCCAATATCCTTAGTTGTTAATGTCATTCATTTTTTTGGAAGCCACTTCAAACCCTTTTTGGAATAAAAATAGTTATTATACATAATTGAGCAGTATGTGTGCAGTTGCATTCTAGGAGGAATTACATTTCTTCTAATGTTGGACTCAAAAATCATTGCAATTAATTCATTAGAAAATACTCTTTTCAATTCCATTTTCTCTTACTTTGAAAAATACGGATTATGTGTCAAACCTGTTTTCCTGAAAGGGGCCAGAGGGAGCAAAATTAATCACCAAGGGCTGTTTTCATTGAATATAAAGTTACAAAAAGGCCTCTGAAGACCAGACAGTGCTTCAACTACATGCGGGTGTGGTTATGGATGTGAAATACGTGAATAGCATGTGATTGCTGGCTGCATGCCCGAAGCATGCCCACACGGCCGCCTGGGCAGCCCAGCTATCTCACAGGGATTGCCTTTAAGCAAAACCATCTGTCACTGTGGTCTGAAAGGCGTGGCGTGGGCTCTGCCACGGCAGCGACTTTGGGGTTTAGCCTGCCCCTGAAAGGCAGCGCAGTGGCAAACTGAGAAATCTAACTTACTGTCAGACCGGGATTTGCTGACGCTGAACTTGGAGTGGAGTTCTAGAAGGAGTATAATCAGCATCAAAAGAGATGCCAGTCTGCTGAACTTTAAAATAGGTTATTAACAAAAAGCAAAAGCTGCTGAGTAGTCTGCAATTGCATAGCTTCTAAACTATGGCTGTGGTTTAGCCTAAAGTTGCTCATCAGAACTAGCACTGGTTTCTAGAATATACACAGGGGCACAGGAGTAGGAACAGCATGAAGATCCTCAAGCAGAAACTTACACACACACACACACACACACACACACACACTCCTTGCTCAGATAACATAAGCATTATCAGTAACTTTAATTATTTGTAAAATAAGTAAAAAGCAAATGTTCCAGTTATTCTTAGTTCTTCAATCACTGGCCTAAATTGGATGTTTTTGGAAAGCAGTTTATATCTCCTTATAGATGTATTTACTTATTTTTTAAATTTTGACCTTGTGACTTCTGCTCTAGGCTAACTGAGGTCAGGTCGTTTTGAGCGTCTGAGTTAGAGAACCCCTGGGACAGAAAACTTCAATTATTTTTCTGTCTGGATGAGTGTCAGAACAATTCATCCTAGCAACTGCTACGAATGCACGTAATTCGGTAAAAGTTGCTCCTTGAATCAAGACATGGGCATTTGCTCCATTGCCTTGAGCTTCTTTCTAGCTTCAGTTCACCAAATCCTTTTTACTTGGGCAGAATTTAAGCCCCGTGGGTGAGGTATACACAGTCATAAGACAATGGGTAGCAGAAATTCGACAATTAGCTAAAATATTTGAGAGGTGCAGACAACTAAGGGAAGTATTTGGGCTGCGCTTGGAAGCAAATATTCTGGCCAACTAGAGAGAAGGAGAGAAGGGTGAAATAGAGCTTTCATTGAAATACCCTGGTCTGCATTCAGCAAAGCTGGGTGAAAATATAAATACACAAAAAAGCCAAAAGGGAATCAGGATGTGATTATTTGTTTTAGAAAGGAGGGTGACGTGGGACTCTAATGTTCTCTTGGCTTGTAGTAAGATCTCTTCAAACATCATCTTGACATAAACTTTCCCCCACTTACTAAGACTAGCCTTCAAGAAGAATTAAAATTGTGTCAGTGACACAAAGAGAAATAAACCAGGGTTCCCCATCCTGTATGGGAAAACTTCTTGTCTTGTATATCACAGTAATGCTCTTGAGATTCTAACAGAAAGGCCACAGGAGGGAGGAGACAAGAAGTTTGCCTGCAAAGAGAGGACAGGAAGAGCCTAAAGTCACCTGGAGGGTGTGGGCGGGAACATGGTGGCAGGCAGGAGGGACTTTGGAATGGCAGCCAGCATACACCACCACCTCATGGAAGCCAAGCCATGTCTGTGAATTGTGCATTGCAAGTGGTGAGAAGCTGCTTGTCCTGTCCTCATTGGGCCAGGACCTGCGAGAGTACCCACCTGCCCATCTCTGCCCAAACACCTCGATGAGCCCCCTCGTGTTACCTTCCTTGAATGGCCCAAACCATACAATTCCCCCCAAAACAGCATGGGTCCTTGCTATTCAGAGATGCTGTTGGGGACAAATCCAAGCCTGTCATGTGGGTGAAGCTAAGCGGTGAAATATGCCACCTGTTACAAATTCACGTCCATTCAAATAAATGTATAGACATTTAGTCAAACCATATCTTTCCAGGAGCCTGTCTACTCCATCAGGTAAGGGTCAATGGAATTGAGCCTTGGTTTTCTGAACCAAGAGGTCTTGCTCACCTAGTCCTAAGTGGATGACCATGTGATTAGATTGAGGCTGCACAAAATGAACAAAATGCTGGACACATAGATATGAGCAGATACCAAAGGAGGTAGACTCAACCCAGAGCCCCCTCCACAACTCCTTGAATGAGACTGAAGGATCTCAATCCCCTTTTTACTCCCTCATAGAATAAAAGCATGACTGGGTACCAGCCTAGAAAGTTTCTATGTTACGTGATACTACTCATGCAAACACAACCAGGACAACATCTCTGCCCTGCTGGGCTTTAATGATTTTACAACCAACATTCACTGTAGTTAAATGATCACAAAAGTCCTTTTCACTAAAGTCCTCTTCAGCTAGAATGTTAAATGATGCTATTAAAGTTTAGTTGAATATCTATCTCAGGGCATTTGGGTGTAAAATTCAATATTCTGGACTTAATTTGCTGGGGGGGCTGTTGTGTGTTTTGGCGAGTGGTATGTGACAAGCCAGGGCTTCTCAGGAATAAGGGGGCTTTAAACACAGATGACGCCACACTCATCATCACCCTGTGGATACGTCTATGAAGGTGTATTACAAGTTCATGGCTCTATGAATTCGTATTACATACAAGACACACTGTTGATTGATTTTGGTTCTTTTTCTTGACCTTTGACTCAGTGAATAATAACCAGTTTGGGACTAATTTTAATGTGCTTGATAAAAAAAATCATAGCCATGAATGCTTAAATAGTATCTGAGCCTTAATATCACTGTGAGAATGTCAGTGGAAATAAGCTGGGCGTGGTGGCTCACATCTGTAATCCCAGCACTTTGGGAGACCGAGGCGGGCGAATCATGAGGTCAGGAGTTCAAGACCAGCCTGACCAACATGGCGAAACCCCGTCTCTACTAAAAATACAAAAATTAGCCGGGTGTGGTCCCAAACACCTGTAATCCCAGCTATGGTGCTGTGCGCTTGTAATCCCAGCTACTTGGAAGGCTGAGGCAGGAGAAACTCTTGAACCTGGGAGGTGGAGGTTGCAGTGAGCTGAGATCACTCCAGCGTGGGTGACAGAGTAAGACTCTGTCTCAAAAAAAAAGAGAATGTCAGTAGAAATAAATGGTTTCTCAAGGCAGACAACAGGTCCTTGAAACCATGTTTAGATTATCTGTATATTAAAAGGAGTAGAAATATAAATATTATTCTCCCTCTCCAACCTTTTCTTGGAAAAATTTTCAAATATTCAGAAAAGTTAATAGAATAGAACAGTATAATAAAGGCCTAAATCCTTTCTCTTAGATACAACAATTATTCACATTTTGCTATATATGCTTCCTAGATTTACCTACTGAGTTATTTAGTTATTTATTGTGAAGCCAGTTGAAAGACAGTTTTTAACATCACAACACTTCATTACTGAGTACTTCAGCATGCAAAGCCTAAAAACAAGAACACTGCCATTGCAAAATACCGTTAGTGCACTTAAGAAAATAAACAAAGGCCGGGTGTGGTGGCTCACGCTTGTAATCCCAGCATTTTGGGAGGCCGAGGCGGGCGGATCACCTGAGGTCAGGAGTTCGAGACCAGCCTGGCCAACATGGTGAAACCCCGTCTCCAAAAAAAAAAAAAAAGAAAATAAACAAAACTTCTGAAATATCATTTGCATCCTGTTTATATTTAAGTTTTCCCAGTGTTCTAAGAATTATTCTCTATCTTATGATATAGTTTCATTTTTATGTACTAGCAGTGACTTCATTGACAGTTGGCTTCATTCTGACATCAGAAAGCAGTACTTGAGAGGCTAATCTAATACTGAAATTAGCCTATTGGTAAATGCACCCCTAAACCCAGTTACTTGGAGGCATTTTATCTGAGAACAAAGTTTACCTGGCAGGATCACTAGAAATCTATGTTGGTGAACTGTCTATGTGTATAGCCATGTAGCCGACAATTAGCAAATGTTACTTTGAAATTTTCCCAGGTCCAAATCACCATGGAGCACTTTACGGCAGATGAGGCTGGGGTCTTGATGTTCCCCTGTTCATGCGTTAGGACAGCTCCCAGTCTACTGGAAATTTCAGTTGCAGAGTCTCCTCATTTCATGACCAAATAGACTTAAGAGGTTCCTCAGATGTTGTTGTGAGGATTATCAGACCCAGATAGGAATTTTTACATGATGAAAAGATGTCCATCCTACAATCCCAGTGCTCAGATCTACTTTTAAAAGCACGTGGAGGCCGGGTATGGTGGCTCATACCTGTAATCCCAGCACTTTGGGAGGCTGAGGCAGACAGATCACCTGAGGTCAGGAGTTCGAGACCAGCCTGACCCATATGGTAAAACCCCGTCTCTACTAAAAATACAAAAATTAGCTGGGTCTGGTGGCGGGCATCTATAGCAGTGAGCCAAGATCATGCCACCACACTCTAGCCAGACTCCGTTTCAGAAAAAAAAAAAACATGTGGGTACACCCTCAGCCAACAAGACAGGATACCTGCACTGCCCCTGGGCGGAGAACACAAACTTCACCGTTTGCTGTTCTCGGGACACAGCAGTCTATAGAACAGAAAAGGGCCCTCCTCTCACAGGATGTACATGCTAGTAAGGAGACAGGTCATAATGCCTGCATGCCGTACGCTCTGAAGAAACACAAAACACACTGAAACAGAATGATGGGCAGCGGGGGGAGTGAGCTCTTCCAGGTGGGTGGCCAAAAAGGGCTTCTCTGAGTCGGTGGTGAATTCAAGCCAATATCAGGGAGGGAGCCATTTGGGAGCACACAGG